AAATGCTATATGTAAAATAAGAAATCTTCTATTTTTCCTCTGAAAAAACTTGTAAGTTGCATTGGTGAGTTTCACAAATACCCCAATACTAATGCCTTGTGCACATACTCTCATTTGTTTCCCCTGACCCTTGAGAAGCAAATGTGTCCTTGCCACCATACCAATTTCTGCAGAAAAGAGATCAATGTGAAAAAACTTTAGAAAGGAAAAGCTCTGCTGATGTCTGCAAGGCATCAAACTACAGCTGGAGGATAGAGGACCTGGACTCTGCTGCAATGCTCCATCCAGTAACACCCTGAGTCTCACACCCTGCCCAGACCCAACACAAACAGAGCTGCCCACATAAGGCCTTTCCATCACCAACAGAACCAATTCTGACTCAATCTGTCGAGGTGCTACAATCGTGGCTACCATCATGATTATATCTGATAGGTGCTAAAAACAAAAACCAAAAATAAACACTGCTAACAGGCAGCTATGACAGGTACAGTTAGGGAGCAACTGGAAAGGAGCCAGTCCAAAAAGAAAGTGCAACTCTAAGGAAAAGCCCTTAGACTAGTGAAACCTAATGAAATTAACTTACTCCAAAGTTTTAAATTAAGCATGACTAAAACTCTCAGATCACTAAATGAGAAGCCAAAATTTTAAAGAGATGTTTACAGTATTGTAAAAATGACATGGAAAAAATGCTATTGATAAAAGAAAAATTTCCACTATATAGGCCATGAAAGTTTTCACAAGTAGGTTACAAGTGCAAATTACATCAGTGAGTTTCACAAATACCCTAATACTAAATAAGTCAGTGGCTGATGCAAAAAGCCCCTTCCTTCCACCTTTCCATCCAGTGTGATAAGGAAATGCTCAGAGACTTCTATGTATAGGAGGGAGCCATAGGAGGAAGCACTGGCTTCTGACAGCTGAGACCTGCACGTACTGCTCACCATCTTCAGTAAGTGTGCAGTGGGCCAGAAAGTAGGATAGGAAGAGTCACAGAGATGGGCACTCCATTAGTTCTGGATACACATACAAACTACCCATTTTATGTTCTGTATCATGCTGCTACCTGGAACTGCCTTGCTCATTATGTGCTGACTCTTACTACCCATGCAATAAAAGGGATATATACTTTGGACTGCAGTCTGGGGTCTGTCTTGGTAATCACCAAATAGGTCATGTGCTCAGAAAACATCCACTGCAGAATGAGCCAGATCTAGGGTTATAATTGTTAAACACAGGGCTGTGCCAGGAGTGCTGGTGCATGCCTGTAATCCCATGGGTTTGGAAGGCTGAGGTAGGAGGATCACAGTTTCAAAGCCAGCCTCAGCAACTTAGTAAGGCTATAAGCAATTTAGCAAGACCCTATCTTTAAATAAAATATAAAAAAGGGCTGGGAATATGGCTCAGTGGTTAAGCACCCCTGGGTTCAATTCCCAGTACCAAAAACATAAACAAACAAACAAGCAAACAAACCACCCTGAAATTGTGGTTTAAATTTTTTTTAAAAAAAGATTATAAACTCATTTACTTAAAAAAAAAAAAAAAAAAAGGACCAATTAATCTAGAGGTCATAACAAAAGCATTTCAGAGAAAATAAATCTAAATATGAGGCAGGACAGTTTGTCATTTTGCAATATATACAGGGCAAGACCCTTATAACTTGGTGCTCACAGAGTAGGAGTCATAGCTCCAACCTCCAGTTCGTGGGCTAGCACGGTTTCTGGGGAAGGAATGGCAATAGTAGTCAGCCAACCTGGGTCTATTAAGTCCAGAAAAAAAAAAAAAAAAACCTAGTTTAAGGACAGACCTATTTTCTACCCTTTCAGAGAAAGCCCCAAAAGTCAGATTAAATCCCAGAAAACTATATATATATACACACACACATACACATACCAAAGTGAATAAAGAATAGTAATCAACATTTTTCAGAACTTGGAAACCTTATCAGACAATGAAATGGAAATAACACCCAACCCACTAACACCCCAAGAAAATTCTTCAGGACAGCCTGCACCTGTTCCTGACTTATTCGAACCAGACATGGTGGAGTCATTTGAAGCTGGCATTCTGTGCAGATAATCCCTACTGATCTGATCTGCATCCTAAAGTTATACTGAACTCTAATTCTAGGGGTCACGAGGTACTGGTAAAAGGTATACTATAATGGGTGGTGAGTGGGGGGCGGTGAGAAAGGAAGAGTTATGCAGAGAACTGCTTCTGCCAAAGCTACACCATCCACAGTTCACTGATTCACAGTTGTGATATCATAAAGGTTCATGGTTCCTATTTTTGCCCTGTTCATGGCAAATAAGCATGCCCTATCTGTCCTGTCACAGAATGAACTACATTCATCCAAAACTGGCTATTTCTCCTTATTAGAAGTCACAGTGGGCCTGCCATGGCCCTATCCAACAGCTCAGGTGCAAGACGTCTGCTTATTCCAAGCAGAGACTGGAATGCTGAGGAGAGCCCTGCAAGAGAGACATGCAGCAGGAGGGCTGGAGGTTCTTGCTTAAACCCAGCTTGGATTTTACATCTACCTTGAGCCTAGTGATCTGTCACTTTGTAGGGTGTGGGGTGCCAGCCGTCTGACCCCACTGTCAGAGCAGGGAGTACCCCACAAAAATAAATGTAACTCAACTTCCTGTTACACACTCTACAAAATCTCTTCTTCCATAAACTAGCAATGCTGGTTGATTATTTATTTATTCTTTTTTGTTTGTTAGAGTTATTTTTCCTCCAGTACTGAGTATTGAACCTAGGGGCACTCTACCACTGAGCTATGTTCCCACTGTTTTGCTAAGGTGAAGAAGCTGGCCTCAAACTTGTGAACTTTCTCCTTCTGTCTCTTCAGCAGCTGGGATTACAGGTCTGCACCACAACATCAGACATTACTGATTACTTATAAAGTGAGGAGTGTGCCCAGAGAGAAAAGTATAGTTTAGAGCAGGCACACTTAAACCAAACCACAGCTCTGCTCTTTATACATCTATTCATGATGAATAACAGCATAATTTTATAGTATAGCACCCCACACCCTATAAACTATACTTTTATTCATCTATTCATTCACCCAAACCTGTATCCAGAATGCTCCCTATTCTAGGCTAAACAAGACGGAAACACATGTCTATAAGTTAATAACTTTTCTCAGTTTCAATATCTCATTTATAAAACAATAATACTTTGCTGGTTGCAGGTTCTTAGGAAGACTGAAGTAAGGACACAGTTCTGACACAAATCAAGTCTGTTATACTGTGGATTGGAATTATGTAATGTCACATTTGGCATTATTACCTGGGTTTTTTTAAGTGATGCCTACCTATTTACAACAACCTATAACAATATTCCTATCACAGTTTCCTGATGAAACTTTTTTCTCCCTCTAAAAGATTAAATTCTACTCACTCTAGCTCACTAGATAAAGGTTTTAGAAATCAACTCAAGATGTGCATGTTACAGCTACACCTGACACACCTTCTGTCCCATGAAAGAGCCCACAGGGCACAGCCCACAGGGACTGCAATTCAGTTACTGTGACCTCAGATTCTTCAATTTGCTTCAAGACTAGGCAGGGCTGCAAAGGGGTTCAACCATGACCTGGCATGGTTTAAAGGAGGGTGTAGGGAGATTCCACATTAAAAAAAACAGAAGCAGTTTAGTGCTTGTCAAGAGGAAAGAAAAAGATCATAGTGTGGCACTTATACCTGAATAAGTGGGACCAGTTTCCCAAGAGCATTGGTGATGATAGGCCGGGCCACGAAGCCCAATCAGTGATGGGCTGCATCCAACAACACCAGAGCACTGGCCCTGGCAGTTTCCTTTAGGGAACCAACTTTGGAAAGGAGACTTGGGGTCAGGGAAGCCTCAGTGCTCATGTGTCACCTATGTGAAACAAGCAGTAATAAACAGATATCAGAAGAAGGAGATAGGGATGCTGAGGCACACTGGGCCTGTCCCTCCTTCCTGTACAGCCATCTTGCTGCCCCGGGAGGACTGCAATGTCTAGGGTACACATACTTGGTCTCTCCTTCTTCCTCCTCCTACCCAGTTATCGCATCACAAATCTTTTATCTACATGGCACATAGTTCACCATACATGGAGGGGTGTTACCCACTGGTCATTTCTCTAATGTGAGTTTGCTAGGCCCTAGATTGGTGAATTTGGGAAACCCACAAGACATCCACTATGCAGGCACCTGAGTCCTCATTATGAGTTCAGCCAACTGGACTTTCCTGGGCACACTGAGGCACACTTGATCTTTAAAGGAAATGTAGAATTCACCAAAGTAATGTTTGAGTATACTTTTGAAAAGTGAGGGGCTAGTGTTGTGGCTGGCTCAGTGGTGGAGTATTTGACTGGCATGTGTGAGGCCTTGGGTTCAACACCCAGCACTGCATATAAATAGATAGATAGATGGATAGATAGATAGATAGATAAATAAATAAATAAAAGATCCATTGACAACTAAAAAAATATTAGAAAAAATTTTTTTAAAAAATATTAGAAAAAAAAAGTAAGAGGGCTGGGGATGTGGCTCAAGCGGTAGTGTGCTCGCCTGGCATGCCTGCGGCCCGGGTTTGATCCTCAGCACCACATACAAACAAAGATGTTGTGTCCGCCAAAAACTAAAAAATAAATATTAAAATTTTCTCTCTCTCTGTCTCTCTCTCTCTCTCTTAAAAAAAAAAAAAAGTAAGAAGCTGACCATCTTCAATGGGGCCCTGAGAATGCCTATGACTTTATTAAGTCAGTTGAGGAAATCAAATATATGAAGTTCCCTCTTGGGGTTGATGCTGCTCAGAATGAGAACTGGATCTGCTGTCCCCAAGAGGAAATTCCTGCAGACAGCTGAAAGAACCTCACTGGTAGAAGGAGGCTTGAGGCAGGAGTAGGAATGTGCCTCATGTTCTGAAGCTGATCCTAATCCTCCTGCAACAATGCTGAGTCCCTCCAGAGACGCCTCAGACTGGCTGAACCACTCCCTTGCCCCAGCTGTTACCTGCTTCCCCTTTACCACGTGCTTGGGCACCGGCACCCTGACCTCCAGGTCAGTGTAGTCCTGCGACCAGGTGTAATTCTCACGTACAGCACCGTTGTAACTGTCAGGGTTTTTCTGGAACTGCTCTTGAATCCTAAGAAAGAATAAGAAAGAAAAGATGCAGCCAGGCAGACATGAGCAGCAGGCCCCGCAGGCAGCCTGGCATATTCCACTCTAACATCCTGAGAAGTAACAGACCCAAGTTTCATGTCAAGCTCACTTGCTTTTGCATCTGCAACCCCCTCTATTTTGGGAGGATTTCCTTTCTGATCCTTCTACATGGTTTCCTAAGAAATCATAGGACAAGAGAAAAGCTACAGAAAAGAAATCCATATGTGAATCCTCACATTTAGGAAAGCAACTATGACTACCATCAAAGCACAGCCGGGTCCTGCCAGCTGCCACAGTACTCAGAACTAGGCCTGCCCACTAGTCAGATATGCTCTCATTAACAAAATCCTTGCTCATGGAAGCTTGGTTTTTCTTTCCTTTTCTTTTTTGGACTAGGAATTGAACCCAGGAACACTTCATCACTGAGTTACATTCCCAGTCATTTTTATTTTAAGACACAACCTCACTAAGTTGCTTAGGGCCTCACTAAGTTGATGAGGCTGGCCTTGAATTTGCAAACCACCTGAATCACTGGTATTACAGGCAAGCACCACTGCCCCCAGTGGTGCTTGATTTCTTATACACTGCTTGGCAGGGCCTATCATTTTAAAAAGGCAAAACAATTTAATTCTGCAACTATCAGACTTCAATCTTTATCTGACACTGAGTCTATTTTCTCTAGTAAGTCAAAGCCAAAGGACTGCATTATGCTGTTGCATCATTAGTAAGACATAAGCAACATATTTACTAAGATGGCCTAAAAAAACCCAGTCAACCAAATCCCTTTGAATATCTGTTACAAACAACATGCAAACAAGCCTAGCCAAGAAAATATCTGTCATAAAATTTAACAATGTTAGTCATATACATACTTAATTAAAATGAGGTTAGACTCACAATTCCACTTACTCATTTGAGGATCTAAGTCACAGACAAAAGCCTTATAACAGAAGAGGCAGCCAGACACTGAACATCCTGAAGTGAGTATATACTCAGTCACCTTCTCCAGGGCCTGCTCAGAGAATAGCAGATGAAATCTGGTAGAGAGCCCCATGGACCCAAAAACAACAGGTACACTTCCTTTCAATCATGTGGGAAAACAAAATTTCATTTGCTTATATCTGTGTTGATGGAGACATAAAACAAGGGTCAGGAAGGGATGGTAAAAGAGGATATCCTTTTTCTGGCTAAAGTTTTGAGATAAGAATATATTTGCCCACTTTGGGTGTGCCTATCTCTATACATGCATGAGGCTGGGCCTTCAATCCAGCCCAAGTTCTCTGAGCTGGTTAATGATGGCTGTTAAAGGTTGAATTGTATCCTCCCAAATGATATGTCAGAGTCTTAACCCTCAAGAGCTAAAAATGTAAACTATTTGGAAAGAGGATCTTTATAGACGTGATCTGGTTACAATGAGGTCATTAGAGTGGGCCTTAACCCACTATAACTGGTGTTCGCAAAGGGAAAACATACCCAGAGAAGAAGGCTATGTGAAGAGAGGCAGAGATTGAAGTGATGAGGCTACAAACCAAGGAACAACAAGGACTGCTGGCCACAGCCAGAAGCTGGAAGAGGCTGGAAGATCCTCTCCTACAGCCTTCTCAGGAAGTTTGAGGCCAAACACCCTAATCTCTGATTCCTGCCTCAGAACCATGATAGAATCAATGTCATTTAAGCTGCCTTTCTGTGGCACTTTGTTGTGGCAGCCCAAACAACCACAGAAGCTAATGGAATTGATTTCAGAGATGAAACTCAAAATTCAGCACTGAATATTAGCAGGACCAATAAGTACGAATGCCAGCCTGAAACTGCCCACAGGGACAGTAATGTACTGCATGGAGATGACACACAGGAACTAAGAAACACAGAGCATGTTTGCCTCCATGATTTGAGAAAACAGGTGGAGTGAAGGCAGCAAACGAAAGATAATGTATATGCAATCAATAAACTGTTTTCAAAGACCAGTTAGACTATTTAAAGAAAGCTTTCAACATACTATAAAAATGGAAAAAGAGATCTGTAACTTTTATGTATGGTATAGCCTCAACTTCTAAGAAGAGGAAATGATATATGTGCGTATACATATAAAAAAAACTAAAAGGAAGCAGGTTAAATCTCTGTTGTTAGCTCTGGTAGTAGATTAACAAAGAATCTAACCTTCTTCTTTGTACCTTTAGGTATTATTTCAAATTCCCTATAATATGCAGACATTTTAACCAACAAGAAAAAAATAATTCTCTTCTGAAAAGTGTCAACAGGAGGCATTGATGTTCCCTACGGACCTGATACCCAGTGCCCTCCTGAATCAATCCCGGAGTCCCTTGAATCAGGATGAGGAGGAGCAGGGATAGCCAGAGAGACTTGCCTAGCTACCAGTGTCCACAGGACCCTCCCATGTGAGCTCCAACTGAAGCATTAAGCTCCCATCTAATATGGACACACATGAACATCAATGAATGACTCTCCAAAAGAATAAAAGGCAGCAGCAACACCCTCTAAAGCTGGGAACTGGGAGGAAATAGAGGTCCTTCACAGATAGCCTACATCTATGTTACCTTGTGAAATTAATCAAAATTATGAAAACATAAATAAAATATCCACACACACACAATGAAAGCCAACATGGCCTTAGCATTTGACAGAGATCAGAGAATAAACATAAAGACTCCTCAAAAGTGGAGAGAAGGGGCTGAGGATGAAGCTCAGCAATATAGTTACTTCCCTGTCACATATAAGGCCCTGGGTTTGATCCCTAGTACCTTCAAAAGAAAGGGCAGAGGATGGGGGAAGATGGCCCTCTAGAGAGGAGAAAGTGTAACAGGGAGGGGCTGTGGACAGCTGCTCCAACACAGTGGACATTCACTCCACCAGCAGTGACATGGGCTCTGCTCCTCTAAGGACAAAGGGTTGCCAGTCTCAGCCTGGTGGGTATCTGTCAGACTGATCCCATGCCCTGCTCTCAAAGCTCTATAATCCTGGAGAGAGCTCTGGTAATGCATAACCCACCTGACCCATCCTCCCTCTGAATCCTCAGTTCCCTTTGCATGGTCCTGCAGCTTCCTTCCAAAGGAGACAAGAGAATCACTCCTTTTAAAACAGCCCTAGCAAGTTGTTGGGTGCTTTTTTTAGCACTCTGAATCCACATTCTCTTTAAATAAAGCTGATTATTTCCAACCAACAGTATGTAAAAATAAGCGTCCTGTCAAGTGCAGGTGGCTCTGGGCCCCACCAAGTGAGAGTCTGCTGGCCACCCCTGCAGCTGTGGGCCTAGGGAGGCGGGTACGAGAATGTACCAATGCTTAAGCATCAAAGGTGGGAGTAAGACAGTGAGTCAGCAGCCAGGCTGCAGATTATGGAGCAGGTCTCAATGAGGCTCCCACTACTGATGAGCTGGGACAACAAGATTTTTAACATCTTAATAGAAAAATGCAGAACCGACCCCACAACCAGCACTATGGCCACAGATCCTGTCTCTGACTGCCAGACCCTTCCAGGCAGAAAGTCCTTCCCAGCAGGCCAGGGCATTTCTGCATTGGGATGAACCAGGAGACAGTCACCTGCAGAGGTGGGTACAGGCAACACTGTAGCCAGGAGTTGCTGTCATGCCAGCATGTAGGAACGGGACTCGTGCTTGGATTGGGAACCATCCCACCCAGTCAGCCTATCCCAGTACTACCAATGGGAACAAAAAGTCCTCTCTCCTTCCATTTGTTTTTAAAAGCCTAAGGATCACAAAAAAATTCTGGATTTAGAACACCAAGTACCATTTAGTGCCAAGTACAAAAAACGATGAGCAAAAAGAAGCCAAACCCTCACCTGAAGATATTTGTCAAGAAAGATGGAGCCCTAAACTGGCAATGGATTTATAACTCAATGGGGCCATAAGTGCTGCCTTCAAGCTCACATTAGGCATTTATTATTTGATAGAAGGAACCAGTGGTTGGCTCTCCCAAGTCATGGTCAAAGTGAAGATGTCAGTAGCAGAAAATTGGGCCTGACACCTTCCCATCCCAGAGCACAGTGTTTTTGCCCATTTCCTACCCTCCAAAAAGCCGTTCCTTCATGTCTTGTAATCAATTCTATCCACACTTTAAACATTCATACTCACCCTGCGTGTGATACAAAGACCACAACCACTTTGTCAATTATAACATCCTATTATCCTTATTGCCCTGAGTCACCCCAGCTTTGACTACTCACATCATACCTCACCACCCACCTGAACTCCACTGCCCCTGCACTTTCAGGAGAAGCACTACAATATGTATGTGCTCTGAAATTTTGTGTCCCCTCAAAATTCACACTGAACCCCAATCTCAAAGTGATGTCTGTAGGAGAGGAGGTGTGGAGGTGATTAGTCATGGAGATGGGCTCTCATGAGTGAGATTATGTCCTTATTAAGACACCTCAAAGGGATCCCTCCCTCCTTCCACCATGTGAAGAAAGATACATAAAAGGCACCATCTACTTAAAAAAGATGGTGGAATGATATGGACATCATTTCCCTAAGTACATGTATAAAGACACGAATGGTTTAAATATACTTTGTATACAACCAGAGAGATGAAAAAAATGTGCTCTGTATGTGTAATATGAATTGTAATGCATTCCACTGTCATATATAACAAATTAAAATAAAAAAATAAAATTTAAAAAAAGGCACCATCTATTGAGCAGCATGCTCTGAACAGACACTGCATCTGCCAGCAACTTGATCTTGAACTTTCAGCCACCAAAACTGTGAGAAATAACTGTCTGTTGTTTATAAGCCACCCAGTCTATGGAATATTTTTACAGACTCCCCAGCAGACTGACAGTGTATGTCTAAACGTGGTATGTGCACATGTGAGTGTGCTGTGTGCATACAAATTATACATGTGTGGTGTGCATGCCTGCAGCAGGTGCATGCCATGGGTACAAGGCAGTCAGTAGAGAGAATGGATCATTCTCTCCGTTCACTCTCTCCATCTCTCTCACACAATT